AGAGTGCTTACGTTCCCAAAGCTCTTTTCCATGCTTGTTCTAACTCAATTCTTACAATTTCATGAAAAAAAGAAGGATAGGTACTATTGCCTGTATTATACAAATGAAAAAACTGAAGCTTACGAAGGCTAAAATATCCAATCAAAGCCACACAGTTTATAAATAGTGGAGCTAGGATTCAGACACCGCCCTTTGGGCACAATTCTGTGTAGGTAGACAACCATGCCTATCACCTCTAAAAGTCCGATATAATAAAGCCGTGTTTAGTCATTACTCAATTATAACCAGACTTTTAAAGGACCTTAAACACTATTCAACAGGTACAACACGTTCTTTAGCCTGCAGGACCGAATGCTCTTGTGATTCCACTGTAGGAGGATCCAATTAAGTGCTAAGTTAATCGCCAACTTTATAGCCAAGCTAATAGAAAAGCCACATTACACTGGCTCTGTCTTGCCAGACCAGCCACTTTGAAGATTTGGTGCTGATTTATGTCCCTTGATACTAGTTGGAATCTCAAGGCTACTGTAAAAAAAAAAAATGCATTCTCTCTCCCATTGTCCTGTTACTAAAATGTGTTAAGTCACGATAGTAGCCAGAGCATTTGCAAGTAAACAATGTAGAATATTCAATTAATTTAAGAAATGATGCTGTTTATGTGTCTCCCAGCTCTTTCCTCAGATATCTGACCCTAGGCATTTGGTAAATCCTAAGAAGCCATTATTTCAGCAGCTCTTGGTTTCTACTTGAAGTCAAGCCAAATATTACATTTGCATGGCATACATTTGTATTTTTCAAAGGGCTTTCACACTGGGTATTTAATTTTATCCTTATGCAACGTTAATGTGTAGGTTGAAATTGTTCTCTGTGGTTTTAAAACAGGTATTTATTTATTTAGTCTCTAATTTTTTGATGGCTTTTAACCCACTGGGGTATTACTAATGTTAAAAAATGAATACAATAGGAGGTCACAGAACTTCCATGTAGAAAATAGAATGAACAGTAACCTGTGCTAATCCCACCTGAAGTTGTGCTTGGAACCAAGGAAGCTACAATAAAATAATAGAGCATTACATTTCAAAAGTTGTAAATCAGCTTTAAAAATATAACCTAGGATCAGTAATCAAATTTAAAAACTTGAAAGGATAGCAAAAAATTGCTAGGAATTGGCAAAAATACCTTTGCAGTAAGAATGCCAAAACACTTAAGGATTCTGAGGAGGACAGAATAAATTAATACTAATTCTTTTTAAAACATAAAATAGGAAATAATTGAACACAATTTTACTCAAACCCATGGATGTTCATTGTAAGAGAAGAGAATGTGGAATAAGGTTAATAGGTGTCATGATTTAATCAATAGCCCTTTTTATAATGAACTTTTTTTTAAAGATTTACCTATTTGATAGAGAGTGGGAGGAGAGAGAGAGAGAGAGAGAGAGAGAGAGCGCAAGTAGGCAAAGTGGCAGGCTGAGGGAGAGGGAGAAGTAGGTTTGCGGCTGAGCAGGGAGCCTGATGTGGGGCTAGATCCCAGGATCCCAGGATCATGACCTGAGCCAAAGGCATTTAACCAACTGAGCCACCCAAATGCCCCTATAATAAAATTTTAAAGGTCATTTGAAAGTGTTAGTTTTCCCTTTTTTTCTTTTTCTTTTTCTTTCCTTTTTTTTTTTTTTTAAGAGAGAGAGAGTGTGAGGCAGAGGGGCAGAGAGAGAGGGAGAGAGAGAGAGAATCCCAAACAGGCTCCCCACTTAGCTCAGGGCCTGACGTGGGGCTCAATCTCATGACCTGAGATCCTGACCTGAGAAGAAATCAAGTCAGACACTTAACTGACTGAGCTACCCGGGCACTTCAGTTTTCCTTTTTATAAAGAAGAAACATATATTAGTATGTACTTTGGAAAAAATACCTGGAGACATATACACCACTTTATTAGCAGCACTTGAAAAGGAGAGACTATTTATTTGTATGGATTTGATCTAATCTGACATGAAAGTTTCTAAATATTCTTGAAACACATGTGGAGTGTTCTCTTTCATAAGACAGTAAACTTAGTGTCCTTTAAAAATTCCAGCTGAAGAGCTACTGATCCACCTGTAAACTTACTTACTGTCCCTTGAGATATTTTAAGTCAATGTGTTTCAACCATGGGCCCATCAAAATCTGGCTTCGTGTCTCTCATAAAAATCTAATGGATGAAGAGAAGGAGGAGAGAAGAGAATAAGATCCAGAAATCACAAGATGGAGAGTAAGGAATTATGGTCAGATTTTTAACTTACCCGGGAACAGAGTGAGTAGCATTTTAAGTCTAATGCCAATTATAGTTTATTTCAGAATATTCAGGACCTCCTAACTATTTACTATCTGGAAAGGCTCCAAGAAAAAGCCTTATTCCGTTCACTAACCCTTTGGGACCATCCTGGCTCTGGGGCTGAAGTTGTTTTCATCTGTCCCCTCTGGGTGCAGTTAAGGGGCCACCTAGTGACTGGACTGGGAATTGCAGCTGTCCAAGAGTGCCTCCCCCACGGACTCCACTTCCCCCCCATGCACTCTAGGATGCTTGTCAGTTCAGATGTGGAATGAAAGAAATGAGATTGGCAAACTTCTCCCGGATGGAAACCACCTTTAACAACCCATTTTGCAAGTCTGTCTCCTTGTCCAGAATCCTCTTTCACGGAGCCTTCAGTTCTTACGTTATCTAACAGGATTACCGAGGGGATAAATTAAGTTATGTAAACACATAAATGTAGTTTTAAAAGTTACTGTTATCGTTTTTGTTAGCCAAACCCTTGGAATAGGTCAACAAAGAGTTTTGTTAAGTGCGAGTGTCATAAAATCAGAGATTTTAAAGTAAGCAAGACTTGCAAACTCTGTGGTTCAGACTCTTTAAGAATGAAGAGACTGGGGCTCTGAGAGGTAAACAGGAGGGACTTCATGGGGGCTGTTCTACTCCCATTCATTTATTTATTGACAGATATTGTTTACTGCATTTCTACTCAGAGCTAAGTTCCAGGGGGGAAGCAAAGATGCTCAAGAAGCACAATATCCAGAGGAGAGCCAGACTTGGAAGCAAGTAAAAACGAGTGGAAGAGTGCAGTGGTGGAGCTGTGTAAAGGACCTGCTTGTGCTAGACCCACCAGAGACGCTGGCACCCTGTAAGACAATGTGCTTTATTTTTTTTAATAAATTAATTTTTATTGGTGTTCAATTTACCAACATACAGAATAACACCCAGTGCTCATCCCGTCAAGTGTCCCCCTCAGTGCCCGTCACCCATTCACCCCCACCCCCCGCCCTCCTCCCCTTCCACCACCCCTAGTTCGTTTCCCAGAGTTAGGAGTCTTTATGTTCTGTCTCCCTTTCTGATATTTCCCACACATTTCTTCTCCCTTCCCTTATATTCCCTTTCACTATTATTCATATTCCCCAAATGAATGAGAACATACACTGTTTGTCCTTCTCCGATTGACTTACTTCACTCAGCATAATACCCTCCAGTACCATCCACGTTGAAGCAAATGGTGGGTATTTGTCGTTTCTAATGGCTGAGGAATATTCCATTGTATACATAAACCACATCTTCTTTATCCATTCATCTTTCGATGGACACCGAGGCACCTTCCACAGTTTGGCTATTGTGGACATTGCTGCTAGAAACATCGGGGTGCAGGTGTCCCGGCATTTCATTGCATCTGAATCTTTGGGGTAAATTCCTAACAGTGCAATTGCTGGGTCGTAGGGAAGGTCTATTTTTAACTGTTTGAGGAACCTCCACACAGTTTTCCAGAGTGGCTGCACCAGTTCACATTCCCACCAACAGTGTAAGAGTGTTCCCTTTTCTCCACATCCTCTCCAACATTTGTGGTTTCCTGCCTTGTTAATTTTCCCCATTCTCACTGGTGTGAGGTGGTATCTCATTGTGGTTTTGATTTGTATTTCCCTGATGGCAAGTGATGCAGAGCATTTTCTCATGTGCATGTTGGCCATGTCTATGTCTTCCTCTATGAGATTTCTCTTCATGTCTTTTGCCCATTTCATGATTGGATTGTTTGTTTCTTTGCTGTTGAGTTTAATAAGTTCTTTATAGATCTTGGAAACTAGCCCTTTATCTGATATGTCATTTGCAAATATCTTCTCCCATTCTGTAGGTTGTCTTTTAGTTTTGTTGACTGTATCCTTTGCTGTGCAAAAGCTTCTTATCTTGATGAAGTCCCAATAGTTCATTTTTGCTTTTGTTTCTTTTGCTTTTGTGGATGTATCTTGCAAGAAGTTACTGTGGCCAAGTTCAAAAAGGGTGTTGCCTGTGTTCTCCTCTAGGATTTTGATGGAATCTTGTCTCACATTTAGATCTTTCATCCATTTTGAGTTTATCTTTGTGTATGGTGCAAGAGAGTGGTCTAGTTTCATTCTTCTGCATGTGGATGTCCAATTTTCCCAGCACCATTTATTGAAGAGACTGTCTTTCTTCCAGTGGATCGTCTTTCCTCCTTTATCGAATATTAGTTGACCATAAAGTTCAGGGTCCACTTCTGGGTTCTCTATTCTGTTCCATTGATCTATGTGTCTATTTTTGTGCCAGTACCACACAGACAATGTGCTTTAAAAAGCACACAGAATAGGGGCTTCTGGCTGGTGCAGACAGTTAAGTGTCCAACTTTTGGTTTTGGTTCAGGTGTTGCTCTCAGGGTCATGATCTCAGTCAGGGTCATGAGATCGTGTTGCTCATCAATGCTTAGTGCAGAGTGTGCTTAAGAGTTTCTCTCTCTGGGCAGCCCTGGTGGCACAGCGGTTTAGCTCCGCCTGCAGCCCAGGGCGTGATCCTGGAGACCCGGGATGGAGTTCTATGTTGGGCTCCCTGCATGGAGCCTGCTTCTCCCTCTGCCTGTATCTCTGCTTCTCTCTCTCTCTCTTTTTCTCTCTTTCTCTTTGTATCTCTATGAATGAATAAATAAAATCTTAAAAAAAAAGAGTTTCTCTCCCTTTCCCTTTGCCCTTCCTACCCACACTGAGGGTGCGTGCTCTCTCTCAAATAAATAAATACATCTCAAAATAAATACAAAAATAAAAAATAAATACATCTTTTTAAGAAAGCACACAGAATCAACAAAATGTATAGCCATACAAAGGAATATTATTTAGATTTAAAAAGGAAGGGAATTCTGACACATACTACAACATAGATAAAACTTGAGGACATCGTTCCAGTCACAAGGGGACAAATGCTGTATGATTCTACTTATATGAGGTATCTAGCCAGATTCACAGAGATAGAAAGTGGAATGGTGGTTGCCAAATGCTGAGGGAGGGGTAGATGGTTAGTTACTGTTTAATGGGGACTAAATTTCAGTTTGGAAAGATGAAAAAGTTCTGGTGATGGCTGCACAACAGTGTGAATGTATTTAATATCACTGGACTGTATGTACACTTAAAACTGGTTAAGATAGGGATCCCTGGGTGGCGCAGTGGTTTGGCGTGGGTCTTTGGCCCAGGGCGCGATCCTGGAGACCCGGGATCGAATCCCACGTCGGGCTCCCGGTGCATGGAGCCTGCTTCTCCCTCTGCCTATGTCTCTGCATCTCTCTCTCTCTCTGTAACTATCATAAATAAATAAAAATAAAAATTAAAAAAAAACTGGTTAAGATAGTAAATTTTATGTTATAAATTTTTTACCATGTAAAAAAAATTACATAGAATTATCACCTCCCACAAGTCAGAATGGCTAGCATCAAAAAGACAGGAAAAAACCAGTGTTGGTAAGCTTGTGGAGAAAAGAAAACACTCGTGTGCTATTGGTAGGAATGTAAATTGGTGCAGTCACTATGGAAGAGAGTGTGGAGGTTCTTTAAAAAATTGAAAATAGAAATACCATATAAACTGGTAAGTCCACTGCTGAATAGCCATTTTCTTTCATTTTATTTCTACCCACAGAAAATGAAAACACTAATTTGAAAAGATACATGTACCTCTATGGTTATTGCAGCATTGACAACAGCCAGCATATGGAAACAACCTAAGTGTCCATTGACATACGATTGGATAAAGAAGATATAGTATACATATACAATAAAATATTACTCAGCCATAACAAAGAATGAAATCTTGCCGTTCATAACAACATGGATAGACCTAGAGGGTATAAAGCTAAATGAAATAAGTCAGAGAAAGACAAATAGCATGTAATTTCACTTATATGTGGAATCAAAACAAGCAAGCAAACAAACAATAGAAAAACACTCATAAATACAGAGACCAAACTGGTGACTGCCAGAGGTGGGTAGAGGGATGGACAAAATAGGTGAAGGAGATTAAGAGGTACAAACTTCCAGTTATAAAATGAATAAATCATGAGGATGAAAAGTATAGCACAGGGAATATAGTCAATAATATTGTAATAACTTTGTATTGTGACAGATGGTAGCTACACTTACCATGGTGAGCATTTGAGTATAGAATTATTGAATCACTATGTTGTACACCTGTAACTAATATAATACTGCATGGCAACTATACTTCAATAAAAAAAAAGTTGCGTTGCACACAAACACGAAAAGTACACAGAAATCAATGAGAATGAACCAAGTATAATTCCATACAATATGATATGGAACTCTCACAATGTTGAGCAAAGAAAACCAGACACAAATGGAGGCAGACCATCTGCTTTCTATATAATGCATGTATTAAGAGTCAGGGTGGTGGTCACCTCTTGGGGAGGCAGAGACAGGACAGCACGGGCTTCCAGGGATCTGGTGATGTTTCTGTTTCTCAATCCAGGAAGGAAAGCTTATTTTGTAAAAATTAATTGCACTGTATACTTATAATTTATCCAGTTTTCTGTATGTATACTAAAACTCAAGTTGTTGCTGTTGTTGACTTATGGGACATAGACAAACTAAAGAAGAATTGGTAGGATAGTAAAGGGACTTCCTTCATAGAAGGAAAGGTTGAATATTTTCAGGGTGGTCAGAGTAGTTTGAAGTCTTCAAATATCTGAAAAAGTGGCATGTGGAAGAGGAAGCCAATTTTGCTTATTATATCCAGAGGGGTAAAACTTGGAAGTGATGGGGAGGGGGTAGAGGAAGACAGAACTCAGGTCATTATAAAAGATGCTTCAATTGCAGGTTAGAATGGGATCTCTCAAGAGATCATACAGTCAAGTGGAATGAGCACTGACTTCCAGGCCAGCTGGAATTGGACATGAACCCTGGCTTTGCCACTTTCTTGGAACTAAGTATGTCACTCTATCGAGTCTCAGTTCCACAACTGTAAATTAGGGTTAGTGCTAACTACCTTGATGGGTTACTTTCAGGATTAGTGATAATGTATACAATATGCCTAGAATAGGTCTTGGCCCATAGGAGGTGCTCAATAAATGGCAGAAATTATTTTCAGTAGAAAGTTCAATAGAGGAATGAAAAATCAAATTAAATGTAAAACATGACATAAATTTCTAAATATCAGTTCCTTTCAACCCCAAGAATCTATGATTCTTTATATCTTTCTTTGTAATTTTCTCAAGGTCATACAGCTTTTAGGTGGTGAGGCCTGCTTTCTCTGAGATGGGTCTACTCTTGTGGGCTGCCTTGGGCAGGGTTGCTAGCAGTAAGTCATTGCCCATCAGGGTCAATTAGATAATCACATCAGCAATAGACCCTGGGGATAGGATGCTCTGGGAAAGTTCAAAGAGGGGAAAACCTGGGAAGGTTGTTCAAATGGTGAGCTACACACAGAACAAGTTACAGCTTGAGGATACCATGGACCTCAGCGTGTGAGGGGGTACATGGAGAATTGTCTTTTAAAAAATAGATTCAAGAAAAAATGTGAAAACAGGCTTAGCCTGTCTCACCATTTTTTCAGGTGTAAATAAGAGATATCACTTTGAAAACCAGTCTCTTCAGTTGTAGGCAAAAGCAGTGTACTCAATCTGCAAAGGCAAGACAAACCTGGGTTGGGCTGAGTTTTCCCAAAGCCTCCTTTTCACCCTGCTTCTTCCCGAAGGAAATGACTTGCTGGAGTGGGGCTTCTCAGATTTACTCGAGGCTCCCTGCTGACCTCTGTTGAATATTTCCGCCTCAGATTTACCCTGGAAACAAGGAGAGCTCCTGTGACAAGAGACCTGAAGAAACAAACACCTAGAAAAAGTCTCTTTGTCTCAGGTATCACACACTCGAGACAGGCTGACCCTTTGAACTTGTGTATTTTCTACAGGCTGCTCAAATGTTATATCTTGGCCCATTCAACTTTCGGTGTGAAATAAAAAGTAAATAGTATGAATTTAGCTCACTATAGCTTTGGCCTTAGCCAAAGGAAAGAAATACCAACAGCTTCCTTTGGCAAGTAGCAACTTATTTTAGCGTTTTCCCTCTTCAGACCAAAGCCCTTGGTAGAAACCAACGTTGCAGCTCAAGCCCACACAAAAACCTCAGATTTTAGTCATATGTCTCACAAGGATATTACATCATTTCTTAGTTTACCAAACGGAAACAATGGCAGGCTCAAAATTACTAACTTGAGGGGAGTGTAATGAAAAGACTACAAAGGTAAACAGGGTTTGGGGGGGAAGCAACAAGGGATAGTATCCTAGGGTGAGTAGCTGCAAGCAAAGGAAATGGAGTACAGTAGTTAGTTACAGCAGTGGTTCTCAAATTCTGTACCATCAGAATCTCTTGGAGGGGGACCCCTGGGTGGCTCAGTGGTTGGGCACCTGCCTTTGGCTCAGGTTGTGATCCCGGGATCCAGGATCAAGTCTTGCATCAGGCTCCCTGCGAGGAGCCTGCTTCTCCCTCTGCCTATGTCTCTGCCTCTCCCTCTCTCAGTCTGTGTCTCTCATGAATAAATAAATAAATCTAAAAAAAAAAAAAAAAGAATCTCTTGGAGGACACAGATTGCTGGGCCTTACCCCAGAGCTTCTGTTTCAGTAGGTTTGAGGCAGGACTAGAGTAACTATTTTTCACATTCCCTGGTGATGGTAATGTTGCTGGTTTGGGGGAAAACTGTGGAGAAGGCAGTTTGACTTGAGCTGTGCCCTCCATAGGGGGTTCGGGCAACCTGAAGAGACCCAGCAGGGAGGATGCTGAACCACCTTCTCTCCAAACCCCTCTGTGGTTCTACTTTAATTAAATTCAACCAGCAGCTAACAGGCAAGGGAGCCCATTGATGTTCAGAAAGCTCAGCCTCCAGAACACGGATCAGATTGGAGAGTGGATCTGAAGGAGTAAATGGAAAATATCTAGCTCTTCGACCCCAAAATATCTTCAAGTACCTCACCATTTTTTTCAGACTATCTTATATTTCTATCGTACTTTCCAGTGTACATAGAACATTCATATACATGATGTAATGATTCTCACAGTCACCCCCCTACAGGGTTGGTGGGAATGACATTTCTGCTCATTTGTGAGTAAGGCAACTGAGGCTCAAAATTGGTGAAAGGCTGCACATCTGATAAGAGCTGGAATTTCTTTTTTTTTTATTTTAAGATTTTATTCATTTATGAGAGAGAGAGAGAGACTGACAGAGAGAAGAGAGAGAGAGAGAGAGAGAGAGAAAGGTAGAAGGCCCCTGCACAGTGAGGAGCTGGATGTAGGGCTGAGATCAGGACCTGAGCTGAAAGCAGAAGCTTAAGCAACTTAGTGAGCCAGCCAGGCACCCCAAGAGCTGGTATTTCTTCTTCTTTTCTTTTTTTTAAAATATATTTTATTTATTTATTGGAGGGAGAGAGAGAGAGAGCGAGTGAGCACAAGCTGGGGGGAAGAGAAGAGGGAGAAACAGTCTCCCTCTGAGGAAGGAGCCCAACATGGGGCTCGATCCTAGGACCCTGGGATCACTCCCTGAGCCAAAGGTAGAAGCTCAACCACTGAGCCACCGAGGTGCCCCTTGATTTGGAGGCTTTAAAGAAGACCATAAACTACAGCTCTAAGCCCCTCTATGTTCAGAACGTTTTGAGAAACAGTCACACGAATTAGACATGTTGAGAGAGAAGTGTTACCTTTGGTGGGAGTGAGGCCAAAGTGGAGGAGTCACATGTCAGAGCTTACAACCACACTTCCTAATACTCTGCCCTAGACTTCCGGGGAGGCAAGGGTGGGTGTACATGTGTATATTTGGGACTCAGGGTAGGGATGCACTTGTCTGGTGGGCAGGCTACTCCCAGGACAAGGTAGTGAAGGAGCTGAGCATGCGCACTTCCTCCCCCAATGCCCCACAGTCAGGTAAGTCAGTCCCTCCTTGGAAAGAATTGGGAGAGGATAAGCAGGAAGGCAAATGCTCTTCACAATTCTGAAAAGGTGGAAGTTTCTGTTTTACGGAGCTGGGAGAGGGAGAAAATGGCTTCCTCCAGGAATGATGCCCTTTAAGCATCTCACTCTTATCACTATGTAAGAATAACTGATGTAATTAATTCTGTCATATGATCTAGGTACTGCATTTTTATTTATTTATTTTTAAAGATTCTATTTATCTTTTTAAGACAGAGAATGAGAGAGAAAGAGAGAGGAAGCACAAGTGAATAGAGGGGCAGAAGGAGAAGCAGACTCCTGCTGAGTAGAGAGAACCAACATGGGGCTCAATCCCAGGACCCTGGGATCATGACCTGAGCCACCCAGGTGCCCTGGTACTGTATTTTTAAAGACTTGACTCTCATTCTACTACAGTAGAATGGCCTCAGGCCTCAATATACTCTCATTTCTTTGGTATGCTACTTTTGTTTCCTTTAACCAAATTCATTTCTGATCCCTTGATCATTTTCTACAATGCTCTGGACCACCGCCTGCTTGAATACTGATAAAGTTCCCATGGTTTCCTTCTGAGAAGATCCTGCTTATCAAATCTAAAGCCTATCTCTCTCTTTTGTCCAGGATTGGGTAGACTATTGGGAAAAGTCCTTACAGAGATTTCCTGGGAACTGGAGTTTTAAAACACACGTCTGTGGGAAAATACTCTCAACTACTGAAGGGCTCTGTTTTTGCCTCTACTTATTTCTTAAGTTCTTTGGGGAAAAGAAAATATTATAGGTCAAATCTTTTTACAAGTAAGTCCGCTGAACTGTTCAAATATGTGGTATGGATTAGAATTTTATTTCATTGACTATAACTTGAATTAGGTTAGATATAAGCTGGGTTGTGGAGGACTCAAATAGTTTTCATTGCAAAGGTACTTGTAGAGGAATTTACCTGGTAAACACCGGATCTCTTCTAGCTAATGTTTTTATCAGACTGATTCAGACTGGGGAGCAGGAGTGGGAAAATGCTGTGGACACAGTCTGCTGGCTAGCAGTCAAGGCAGAGCAAAGAAAACATAGGCAAAGGTCTGTGTGAAATATGAATCTGAGTCACCGAGGGAGAGGAAGAAAATAGCATGTGTCATTCTGAAAAAGCTCTTCTTAGGGTAGTTTCTTTTGACTGTAATCACTGCCTCTCCCCTGGAGAGAGTCACAGGGCTTCTCTTGGCTCTTCCTGCCACATTTTCAGACTTAAAAGGAAGCCACCTTCAGGCAAATTCCCTCTTCCCCTCAAGAAAGAAAATAAAAGGAAATTGAGAGTCCTGGTCTCTGAAGAACTTAGGTCAGGTTTTGAACGAGCTCAGGGCCCTTTCTTCAGGGGTTGGGAATATCTGCAGTTCCAACTGGGGCTTGCTCCTCTGGTGCCCCTTTGAGTATGAGGGTGGAACTGTGTTCTTTAAAGTAGCCTCAATTCCCACAATTGCAGTCCCCAGAACTCTATCCAGGATGTCTCCTTTTCTAGGCCTTGCCTCTTAGTCTGGAGAGTTTCAATTTCTGTTATTTGTAAGCCTTCTCTCTTGAATTTTTTTCTCTGGTCGCCCCCTATTTACTGTCATAAAGGTATTAATTTTTCTAAACATGTTCTTTCTCTTTCCATTTCTGCACGAATCTCTAGTCACTAGTTCCAGAAAGATCCAGTAGCAAACTGTCAATAACGGACAAGCATTTCTGAAATTCATTTAACAATTTTACAATTTTATTGAAATATAATTTATATACCATAAAATTCACCCATTGTAAGCATGTAGACAGTGGTTTTTAGTAAATTTACAGTGCTGTGCAACTACTGTTATAATCTAGATTTAAAACATGTCCAAAACCCCATGAAATTCCTTCATGAGTATTTGCAGTCCATCCTGTTTCACCTCCAATTTCAAGCTACTACTGATTTGATTTGATTTCTTTTCTTCAGAGGAAGATTTGTCTTTTCTGGTCATATCATAGACATGGAATCATACAATAAGTCAATTTTTATAACTAGCTTCTTTCACTTGGCGTAATGTTTTCCAGGTTAATCCATGTTTTAGCGTGTATCAGTGCTTCATTCCTTTAGTTTCATTCCTATAGGTGAAAAGTAGTCCATTACATGGACATATGATTTTGTTTATCCACTCATCAAAATGGACATCTGAGTTGATTCCACCTTTTGGTTATTATGAATAACCAAACTGCTGTGAACGCTTATGTACAAGTCTTTGTGTGAACATATATTTTCATTTCTCTTGGGTAAATATCTAGTAGTAGAATTTCTAGATAGTATGGCAAATTTACCTTTTTAAAAAACTACTTAGCTGTTTGACAATGTGGATTTTCCATTTTCCATTCCTTCAAGCAATATATAAATAAAAGGTTTCCCTACATCCTCTTTAACACTTGGTATTGTCTGACCTTCTGATTATAGTTCTAGAGGGTGTGTAATGCTATCTTATTGTGGTTTTAATTTGAATTCCCCTAGTGACTAAGAATGTTAACTATCTTTTCAAGTGCCATTCATATATCCTCTTTGGTGAAATGTGCATTTCTTCATTTTTTAATTGGATTGTTACTCTTCTCATTACTAAGTTATGAGTTCTTTGTGTATTTTGGATACAACTCCTTTACCAGATACATAATTTGTAAACATTTTCTCATGACTACATCTTATCTTTTGAACTTATTAAGAGTTTCATTTAATGCCCAAAAGTTGTCATTTTGATGAAGCCCAATTTATCAGTTTTGTGTGTGTGTATCACACTTGTGATGTCATATTTAAGAACTCTGCATATGAAGGATTTAGCCAATGTTTTCTTCTAGAACCTTTACAG